AGGTTGGTACAGATGGTTCGGTAACTGGACTTACACACTTACAAGCTTACATGTCATTATCTCAACCATATTTGCTTGCGGACTTGTGCAGTCTCGGTGAGGGCTCTTTCTTGAGTCCTTACGCCTTGATGAACACAGATTGACATTAGCATTTTTTGATCACTTTGATTTAGACCCGTTATTGGGTATATACTTTAACACACACACACACACACACACATATACACTCGAACAAATGTTGTAGGACAAATACGAAAGATAATGAGCAAAACCAATCTATGTCTGTCCATGCGTTGTAATTATCTTTTGCTCAATTCAGTCCATTCAAGAGGACAGTTGTAGCCGGACAGTCTGCTCGACCCAGTGTTGACGTGCGACTGGTACAAGAGTGAGTTCCAGCTCTGATGATGCACTTCGTACGATGGACGAATGCTCAGCTCATCTTCATCCGAGACGAGCGAGGATGCCTCATGGACTGCGTCAACCTGGACGTCGTATCGAAGCCAACCGGCTGCGGTAGAACGAGATTCAGCCGTCATCTTCTGATACGATCGACCTGAAGAATCTCTTTTTCATACGTTTTCATACAAAATGAATGTCCCGCCTACAATGTCATTTCGGGAGACTCATCGAAACCCAGCTACTCTTCGAATCTATTCTCTATCAACATAGTCTCGCTCTAATGCCAACATGAAAAGAGGCAGCCAAAAGTAGAGCTGCGACAAGATAAGTTTTGGCCTCGGGCAAAGGGTATCGTATCAAATTGCATAAAATAATACTTGCCAAACGACATCAAGGCAGGTGTGTGGGTGCTATGCAAATGTAACTTGCCTCATGATGGACGCCGGCAACGCTGAATTAGGTCCTCGTGGATCCGCATGTAGCCGCCTGGTAGCTCGTATAAATAGGCGGACGTGGATACGCCGAATGCGCGAGTTGTCGCACTTTCGTTGCGTCTACGCAACGCTCTCTTGCCTCGTGCCTGGCCATGCGGCTCTGTAACTGCCCGTTTGTCCCTCGCGTCACCTGCCGCCTGTCCGTGCCCCATTTCCGCCGGCAAATCATACACTTGCATGTCCTCACCGTCCCACACTTTTCACACTCAACTTACGCTTCCCTGCCTCCTCCGCACTCTCTGTCTCCTCCTTCCTGTCAGCCGGTTTCTCTGCCACTCCTTGGCTCCTGCTTGCCCTTGGCTTCATCTCTTCACGTAGCATCTTCCTTTCTGTTCTGATGCTGGTTGCTGGTTGCTGGTTGCTGGTGGCTGGTTGCTGGTGGCTGGTGGCTGGTGGCTGGCCGTCTACTCGGCTCGTCTTCACCATGCTCTATTTGGCCTATTGGCACAAGTCTCCTTCTCCCCAGTTCATCTATCCCCCTCGTGTGTCTGCTTGTGTGTCTGTGTGCGAGTGTGCCTGCATGTGCATGTGCATATGCATGTGCATATGCATGTGCATATGCATGTGCGTGTCCACCCCCTCAACAGTGGAAGAGTAAGTCGAGACGTGCAGCCAACATGTTTCATGTATTCGAATCCTGGCCGGTCTGCAACGGTACCAAAAAGAACTCGGTTGAACTGTCAATCGGGGAAATGTAGAGTGTCGACGTTGGGGAAACGTATGGTTGGACAGGCCGCGCTTGACTGCGTGTAAGAGGCTGAATAATGAGCAATAAAAGCCATAATCCTTGGCAGGAGTCGAGGGAATTTCGCTTCTATCCGAGTCTTATCAGAAGCCCCAGTCGAGACTCGGGCTCAGAACACGAGCAGATAAGACGTGACGGGAAGCTTATGAAGCGCAGTTGGCCAATGGCTTTTTTTTTCATGTTCGTTCGACCTTGTTATCGCCACTTGGTCGGAGCGTCAGGGAGACCTGGTGGAAGGTACCTGGTGCCGCGTCGTCTGCCAGAGTATTCATGGTGTCTTGCTTCGAACCATTGACTTGGTATATTCCCAGAAGTTTCGCCGGCATCGCCAATAAGAGGCGCCATTGCAAGCTCAGAGTTGCAACTTATCAAATTGACGAGGCAAGGCAATCCGCTTGACTAATTTTCCGTTCAACCGTTGCGGCATCTCTCCTCGCCCCCCTTTTACTTGTACCTTCAAGTGCCACATCCCCTTTTCTCAACCCCACTTCCTATGGCCCATTCGCCCCGACAAAGTCGAACCAACCCTATAGAACCAAAGGTGACTGCGTCCAAACAGAAAGCAACACCAGTTTTGTCTTCACATCTACCAACAATAACTTTAACTTTAGTCTTGAATGGTGAAGGAGTGGGATTCATAGAGTGTCTGCACACGACAATCGGTCCTTCATTCCTTCCGTGGTCTGGGATGAGTTCAATTGTAATGGGAAAACTACTGGTCTTCGTATCTTTTAATGGCATTTTGTGTCATTCAGACGAGAATGCAATCTGCTTCATGCTCGTTTGACCAACTGGCAGATTCGGAAAGTCGAAGAGACCAACAAATTAGCTTCACTCTTAAGACAACAAGATTGATGCTGGCGACATTCAGCTACGAGCATCATCAAGTTTCACCCTTTACTTGCTGGCGTATGTTTGCTTACACTCAACTTGTCTTCGATATCGAAATGGTGAGGTACCCACGTGGAGAGAGCACATTGGGTCCATGTCCTGTGATATCTTCCTCTCGGGAAGGGGTCAGATATAAGACTTGTTAAGATACAGCAACTTGGCCATCATCATCCAATCGGCTGTGATTTGGTCACAACTCGGCTGTTGTTGTGCCCTGTACCTGATCACCGGCCTTGACCAGAGAGATGAGGATGGGATTGCTCGATTGCGTGTGTTTCCCTGCCTCTAATCACTCCATTACGAGTGAATGCAAACCGACCTCACAGACGAAAAGAAGCCTATTTTGCCCAAAGTGTTCTTCTGATACACTCCTTCAGCTGTACACCCGATTGTATCCCTTTTTTATTCTTCTGCCAAACGCGGTCTGCATACTCCAAGCACCATTAGCGTTTATTTCAGATGAATTCACCCAATTCCGTTTAGGCTGATGAAAAGCTGGTAGTTCCATTTTCCCCCAACGAAGTAATCTTTGTTTCCAGATAGGTCTTCTACTTCAGGCCGGATCAGATTGCAGTTTCGACCTCGCCTCAATTCGTTACATCAGAACAAATGGCGGGACTCGAACTAGGGTAGTGGTAGTGTAAGTATAACGTAGACACGTTTATCATTACGCCACGCAGACACGAGCAGACGTTAATTTCACGGAAGACCTGGCTTTTCGCAAATCACTTTCTGTGATGCTATTGCATTCGTAATAGCAATCGACCATATTACTTATCTTTTGTTTATAAGTAGCTTTCGATATTCATTTATATATATATATATTTTTTATTTATTTAAGAACTTCTGATGATCTCGAAATGAGCAACACATTTTGCATTATGTT